AGTTATTTGATTATTCTTTTTGAAAGCAGAACTTGATAAAGGTTGTTATGTAACAACTTTCTAAAATAATTATTTAATCTTACAGGGAATATTCTAACTTGTTTTTTTTGTTTATATGACTGGCTATATTTAAGAACTCAGATTGGAACTTTTACACTATTATCTTGTTTATTAATAAGAGCTGGCATTGTGTTGTGTCATCTTTAGTCAAAATGGAGCAAATAGTGTCAATTTTGCCTAAAGGCAAAAGAGAATGGATTTCAATGAATTGTCCATAAATATAGTATTTTTGGTTTAATTTTTCACTCTGAATATAACCCAAAACATATTCAGAAAGATATTGCATTCAGATTCAAAAGTAAGACATATTCAGAAATATTGCATTCTGATTCAAAAGTAAGTTTTCCACTGACAAAATTAGCAAATAGAATTTTATGGGCATTCAGTTTTCCAAAATATTATGTGTTTCAATAACTTGTTTAATTTTCCCAAATGAATTACTTTTACACAGAAGTAAGCTAAGTATTTATTATTATTATCCATTTTTATGACTGTAGAAAAACAATGTTCTGTATGTTAAATACAGTAACCAAAAATATGTAACAGAAAATTATCATAGCCATGTTTAAAATCTAAGTTTTTTAAAGTAATAAAATACAAATTAATATTTTCCTGAATAAATAAATGCTGATATGAGTTTGCAATTCTAATGGATAACTATTTTGTCACTTCTTGTTAATGTATTTTTTATTGTTCTCTATGCAGAATAAAAGCACTATAAATGTATTTGAAATCATATCAGGAGTTGACATCCATGATTATTTTTACCTATAGACCTAAGAATTCAGAGTTTAGTCATGCCAAATAAGACATCAATTAGAGAATTTATTCTTCTGGGAATTACGGATGACCCAAAGTTACAAGCTGTGATATTCTTCTTTCTATTGTTCACCTACTTATTGAGTGTAAGTGGAAACATGACCATCATCATCCTAACACTATCGAATGTTTGTTTGAAGACTCCCATGTATTTCTTCCTCAGGAATTTCTCTTTCTTAGAAATTTCATTCACTACGACCTGTATTCCTAGGTTTCTGGCCAGCATCGCTACAGGAGACACAACCATATCCTATAATGCTTGCATGACACAAATATTTTTTTTAATCCTTTTGGGATCTACAGAATTTTTTCTTCTGACTATAATGTCTTATGATCGCTATGTGGCTATCTGCAAACCTCTATATTACACAACTATCATGAATAACAAAGTCTGCAACCAGCTTATTATCAGCTCCTGGCTGGCCGGTTTCCTCATTATCTTTCCCCCTATGACTATTGGCCTCCAACTGGATTTCTGCGACTCTAATATAATTGACCACTTCATTTGTGACGTTTCTCCTGTGCTGCTGATTGCTTGCACAGACACAAAGTTTCTAGAGCTTATGTCATTTTTCTTAGCAGTATTCACACTCATGGGAACTTTGGCCTTGGTGATCCTCTCTTACACACTCATCCTTAGGACAATTCTGAGGATTCCCTCTGCTCAGCAAAGGAAAAAAGCCTTTTCCACTTGTTCCTCCCATATGGTTGTGGTTTCCATTTCTTATGGGAGTTGCATTTTCATGTATGTAAAAACATCTGCAAAAGAAGGTGTGGCTTTGAGCAAAGGTGTAGCAGTACTTAATACCTCTGTTGCTCCCATGCTGAATCCTTTTATTTATACCTTAAGGAATCAGCAAGTGAAGCAGGCCCTGAAGGATTTTGCCAAAAAAATGTTATTATCAAACAAGCACTAACTATTATGAAATCTGTAGCTGAAACCACAAATAAACCACACATAAATACAAATCATTGTTCTAGGTGGTGGATATATATAAGGAATAAAACATGCAAAAGTTTCTGCTATTGTAGAGCCTAGTTCTAGTAAGGGGACACACATTAAACAGTCAACATAATAGAAAAGTAAATTACCTAGTACTTTATGAAGGGTAAATGCTATGAAAAAAATGAAATACTTTGAGAAAAATGAGGGTAGAATTCAAATTATATTGGGTGGTCAAAGACTTTGCAGTCATCCAATCATCAATCAAAGGGCACTTCGGTTTTTTCCATGTTTTAGCCACCGCGAATATGCTGTAATAAACATTGAGGTGTATATATCTTTAGGGATGAATGTTACGATGGAATATTACTCAGCCATAAGAAAAGATGAAATACTGCCATTGATGACAACATGGATGAATGTTGAGATAATCGTACCAAGCAAAATAAGTCAGGAGGAAAAAGTCGAGAACCATATGGTTTCACTTATATGTGAGATATAAAACTGAAAGCAACAAACAAGATAAACAGAGACTCAAGGACACTAACAGCAGTTTACTGGTAACCAGAGGGAAAG